GTGTGTGTGTGTGTGTGTGTGTGTGCGTGTGTTCTATGCTTGTGCGAGAATTAATCGTCCGAGTCGTCGCTCATGAACTCGTCCTCGTCCTCAAAGACGGCCATGTCCTCGAAGGCGACCTTGTATCGCAGGATGCCGCCGATGCCACCAAAGCCCTTGCAGAACTGCATGCCCTCTTGCGAACGGTCGGTGACGAATTCGAGGTTGGTGCCGAACTGGCGGTAGTTTTCTGCGAGCCACTCGAGGAGCGGCATGGGTTCCTCGACCTGCTCCATGGCCTCGCCGGTGGCGCGGTCCATGAAGCGCGTGCGGTCCTTCTCCTGCTCCTTGGTGAGCATGAGGACGTGCTGGGAGCCGTCCGAGTCCTTGAGCACGTAGCGCGTCACGTCGAGGTTCTCCCAGACGATGAGCGTCTCGACGGCACCCAGGTCGAGCGCCTTGAAGGTGTCGTCGAGGCCGAAGCAGTACTTGCCGGTCTCCATGGAGATCTCGTCAAAGTACTTTTGGATGAGCTTCTTCTCCTGGACGAACTTGACGTTGGAGAGCGTCTCGGCGGCGAGCTCGATGGCCTGGTTGAAGCCGTTCTCGCCGCCGTAGGAGACGTCGACGATCTTGACAATCTTGGGCTGCAGACGGTAGTCAAACATGTCGGACTGGCTCAGCTCGGTCTTGAAGTCGGCGGAACCGGCGAGGACGAGGCCGGCGACGTTGCACTTGTTGTCGGTGATAAAGTGCTGCGTGGAGAGCTCGGCGATCTTGCGCACGTAGTTGTGGCGCGCCTCCTCACGCAGACGTGCGAAACGCAGGGCGGACTGACCACCGCGGCCGTGCTTCTTTGGCAAGTCCACCGAGAGCTTCTGGAGGACGGTGCGCGTGTTGCCGGAGAGCGTGCCGAAGAGCGAGCCGTTGCCGTCCATGACGATGAAGCCGAACTTGGCGTCGGCCTCGAGGAGCTCGCTGAGCGCCTCGGTGTGGAACTTGTTGTCGCAGAGGTAGAGCGAGGTGTTGATGGGCTTGAAGGGTTCGAAGGAGAAGTTGACCTTCTTCTCCTTGCCCTCGTCTGTGAGGATGGTGCCGCAGTAGACCACGAGGCCGTTGTCGGGGACGCGGTTGTACAGCTTGAGACGCTGCTGTGTGGAGGTGATGGCGGCGAGCACCGACAGACGGTTGACACGCGACTTGATGTTGGAGGCGGTGCCGTACTCCTGGGTGAGCATGTTGGTCGCCTGGGAGATCTGCGATCTTGGTGGGAGGATGAGCGAGATCATCGAGGTACCTGCACCGCGAGCCGCATCGAGCTGCTTGACGAGCTTCTTGACCTTCCACACCTGGATGTTGGCCTCTGCGGCGTCGGCTGCGGTGGCCATTTTGATGGTATTTGATGGTGATGCGAGGAGACTGTTGGAGGATTACCAAGGGCGAAGCAAGCGGACGAATCGAAGCCGGGCTCAGGGATGCCAAGGATGCACAGCAAGACCGACGGTGACGAACAAGACCCGATGCTGATAGATGCGCACGAGACGACTGCGAGACGGGAGGTGCAAGATGCGAGGCGAGGAAGCGATGCGGAAGAGGTGGGTGGGAGCGAAGGGCGAGAAGGTGGAGGCGAGAGTGTCGACGACGAAGAAGACGACAAACGCTGCTGCTGCTGTTGCCGACTGCGGGCTGCACCGATGGGATGCAGCAGCATCTGCTCGGCCGTGCGTGGCGGCCGCTCTGCCCTAACCCACTTGGAGAGAGAGTGCTTCTGCAAGCCCTTTGAGCTCAGCCCGCCAAATCGAGAAGAAAAAAAGGACAGCCAGCCACCAAGAGCGCGCCTCCGCCTCCTCACTCTGAGCGATTTCAGCCAAAAAAGAAAAGCTGCAAAAAATTTGTGCCGATGCGAGGCTTAGATCGGCCAAAACCAAGGCTGCCCGCTGCCACATCGGCGATCTCTTCTCGCAATCCGAAGCGAGCCAATAAAAGAGGCGCCCATTTCACGCCGCTTCCCAACGCGTCTCTCTTCGGCCTGCATTCCGGTCAGCTCGGCCAGATGATCCGGAGCGCTTTAAAGCGTGTTGCACTGCACAAAGCGAAGGCTCGCCCCCTGCTTCAGTGACAGCGTGGTGGGAGGCGGTTCCATTCTGCCTCGTTGAGCGTTGGATCAGCCGACCAAGGGTGAGTTGAGCGGAGAAGCAGCTCAGAGTGCGCCCTCCAACCGGTTGCTTTCTCCGGCGAGTTTATTATAGAGTGTGAGTGTGAGTGGGAGTGTGGGGGATTCGGGCGGGTTCAACCGCGTTCGGTAGCCGATTGACCCGCGCTTTCCTGCTCTGGACCCCGTGCGTCGATCTTCTGACGGCGCTCAGTCCTCCTCCCTCACCTCCACCATCGTGTCTATCCTCTTTCCGTTCATCGTCGCTCCCGCTTGCAATCGGCAACCGTCGTGACCTTGCCAGCTCGGCTCCTCCTCGTCCCCCGCAAGCCCGTCTGGCCGTTTGTGCCGGCATGTCGCGCTCCTCCAAGGCCAAAGGGCGTTCGGCCAAGTCGACCGTCGTCAGGATCCAGTACGATGCCACGCTCAAGTCGTCGCTCGTCCACCTGCCCATGTGCCTCTATGCTCCCCTGGTCGACCTTGCCGTACCCCCTCAGTCGCTCGTCGTCGAGATCGATGCGTCGCCCACCATTCCCACCGCTTCGCCCTACTTTGCAGGCTGGTCCGGTATGAGCGCAGCTCCGCTCTCCGTTGGCAACTCCCTCGCTCAGCCCAATGGCTCCTTTGCCGGCTCTTCTGCCGCATCCTCCACAAAGCCCTCGGCCGTCGACGTCCTCAACATTTCGCCCTCCCTCGCCGCTTCCTTCCATCCTCCCTTGCCAGACGGTGCCACGTGCTCCGTCCGCCTCTTACGCTCGCCACCGCTCCCCACTGCATCCAAGATCGACGTCACGCCGCTCTCGGCAGACGACTGGGAGATCCTCAGCCTTCACGCCGAAGAAGTCGAGATGAATATGCTCGGTCAGGTGCGTGCTGCCACCACCCATCAGCTCATCACTGTGCACGTCGGCCGCGGCGGCAACACCGTCGTCCGCTTCCGCGTCGATGCAACCACGCCTCCCACCGCAAGCGCAGATGCAGCCGAAGCCGATCTCGACGATGCCGACGCTCCCTCCGCGCTCGCAGTGCGTCTTTCCACCGACACCGAGGTCATCATCGCTCCCAGGCTGCGCAAGAAGTTAGTCGATCCCGCCATGCAGGAGGAACACTCGCTGCAGCCTACATCCAGGGCGGCACCAAACGGCGTCGGCACCGAGGACGAGACCCACACGCTTCGACAGACGCTGCCCAAGCTTCTCTGGCGTGTCCTCCCACAACGCTTCGCCCAAGGTCTTGAACTCTCCAGCTTGACTTCCAGTGTAGCGGTGCCCTCCTCCTCGTCAACGGGCTACACGCAGTTCAAGCAGGTCTTCCCAGATGACCGCCTCTCGGTCACCAAAGTGTCCTGCCCCACCAACAACAGCGCATCCGAAATGCAGCCTGACAAAGGCGCTTCCTCCACAGCCGCCGATTCCGACTCGGCCGACGCTCGCAAGGACGGTGCAGACCCTTCGCCGGCGCTCCCAGTGCGTCCGACTGCCTCCGCACGCTTCGTCGATGCCGATCAGCTGCCAGGCGTTCGCACCCACGCCCACGTCGCCTGGCCCGAGCGCCACGTGCTCATCGGCGCCGGTCTGCGCGAACAGCTCGGCATCCAAGACTACGATCTGGTTCGCTTCAGCCCACCACCGCCTGGATTCGGTGGCTCTTCCAAAGCTGCGACGCCAGCAAATGCAGCGACCGAATCAACGGATGCTGCCAAAGCAGATGCGGCCGGATCGAGCCTCGCAGGTGTCGAGCATATCCTCCGCGATGCCACAGATGCTGTCGCCGCCTGCTTCCGCGCGCGCACCCTCGAAGCTTCCTCCTCGTCGCGAGCGGCCAAGCCGTTCCAAGGTGCCAGCGCGCTCTTCCTCACCGGTGGGCCGGGTGCGGGCAAGACGGTCATTGCCAAGCAGCTCGCGGCCCAACTCTCGCACGACTACCGCCTCTGTCTCTCGACGTCGTACCGCGACTGCTCGCCCTTTAGCGAGGAACGTGTGCCCGTGCTGCGCGCACGCTTTTCGGAATGGCTCAACGAGGCTGCGTGGAAAGCACCCAGCCTGCTCATCCTCGACAACGTCGATCGCATCATCCCCGCCGAGATGGAGCACGTCGACTCGCAGCGCTCGAGGCAGCTCGCAGAGGCATTTGTAGCGCGCCTGCGCGACTGTGTCAAGCACTTTGGCGTGTTTGTCATTGCCACCGCCCAGGGCACCACAAGTGTGCACAGCCTGCTCAACTCGAGCCACCTCTGGCTCGATAACCTGGCGCTCAAGCCGCCCGGCAAGGAAGGCAGGAGGGACATTCTCGCGCATCTTGTGAGGGAAAAGGTGCGCAAGGCTGCAAAGGTGCGCGACGATGCTTTGGGCGCAATGCAGCAGGTCGATGGCGACGCGGCGGATGGCGATCTCAACTATGTCACGCTCGCCACGCAGACCGAGGGCTACCTTCCGGCCGATCTGCGCGACTTGGTGGAGCGCGCCACGCACCAGTCGGCCATCCGTGCTGCGGGTGCTGCAGCCGTGCAAGGAATGGAATCGGCTGTTGCAGCCCGAGGCGTTAATGGCGCCGACAAGCAGGAGGCTTTGTCTCTCAATGGCAGTGCGGCGGACCTCTCGATCACGATGGATGACTTTGCCAAGGCCCAGGATGGCTTCACACCGCTCTCGCTCCGAGACGTCAAGCTGGAAAAGTCATCGGTGGCGTGGTCGGACATTGGCGGTCTGGTAGAGACGCGACGTGTGCTGCGCGAGACGCTCGAGTGGCCCACCAAGTACGCGGCGATCTTTGCGTCATGTCCGCTGCGGCTGCGTTCGGGTCTGCTGCTGTACGGCTACCCCGGTTGCGGCAAGACGCTGCTTGCCTCGGCGGTGGCGAAAGAGTGCGGGCTCAACTTTATCAGCGTCAAGGGACCCGAGATTCTCAACAAGTACATTGGTGCGTCGGAAAAGTCGGTGCGCGACCTCTTTGACCGTGCGCAGGCGGCCAAGCCGTGCGTGCTGTTCTTTGACGAGTTCGACTCGATCGCACCCAAGCGTGGTCACGACAGCACGGGCGTCACGGACCGCGTGGTGAACCAGATGCTGACGCAGATGGATGGTGCCGAGGGCCTGGATGGCGTGTACGTGCTGGCTGCCACGAGTCGGCCCGATCTCATCGACTCGGCACTGCTCCGACCCGGTCGCTTGGACAAGTCGCTGCTGTGCGATATGCCGACAAAAGACGACCGACTCGACATCATGCGCGCCATCGCCAACAAGGTTCACCTTCACCCCGACGTCGATCTGGAAAAGTGGGCTGCAAAGACCGATGGCTTTTCGGGTGCGGATCTGCAGGCGCTGCTGTACAATGCGCACCTGGAGGCGATCCACGAGTCGATCAACACGGCCACGCAGGACAAGGACCAGGATGGACCCAAGAAAGTGGACGGTGCGGATGGTGCACTCAGGTTCACCAGCATCGGTGGGGGTGGTAAGAAGACGCTGAGCGGTGCGGAGAAGCAGGCGCTGGCACGCAAGCTCGAGCTGGTTCTCAAGACCACTTCGGCTCAAACCGAGCAGGCTCAGCACAAGGAGGCCAAGGCGGGCCGAATCCTGCCGGCTCATCTGGGCTCAGCATCGGCAGCAGTCAATGGTATCGACACGGCGGGAGAGGGCTCAAGTGCAAAGCGCGGAGCAAAGACGTTGGTGACGGAAGTGCATCTGGAGACGTCGATCAAGAGCACGCGTCCGAGTGTGCCGGCGGAAGAGCAGCGCCGACTGCGCGCCATCTACCGCACCTTTGCCGGTGACAGGGACGGCAACTTTCCCGATGGCGAAGCAAGCACCCAGATCGGCGCGCGCAGCAGCCTCATGTAGCTTCGCCACAATCACAAATTCAGCATCGTCCATGCACTTGGTGTGTGAGATCGGGGTTCGGATGTTGTTGAGCAATCCGACGGGTTGTGAGATGCATGGATCGGAAGAAAGTACAGCGCAACTTCGAGGAACAAAAGAGAAACAGCGAGCGCGTGAAAAGGAAGTCATACAAAAGATATAAGCTGTCAAAAGGGTCGGTATAGACGGGGTCCGAAGGGTGCAGAGTGGATGCATCGGGCTTGGCATGTGCAGGGTTTTTGTGAGCCGGTTGTGAAACGTGGCTCCTGCCAATCACGGCTTGCACTGCAACTTCGCGCCAATGCGGTCGGTAAGGATCGTCGCCGAGCGCATTTGCTACGCTGCCGGGGAGATCGTCAACTGCCACGTGCATGCGATCCCAACGACGAACAGAAAAACACATCGGTCAACATCGCTGCTCACTGCCCTGGCAGCAAAGATCGCTCGGTGATGTCGAGGCTAGCAACCACGATCAAGAGTCTGTACCTATGATCTTTGGGACCTCTGCGTGTATGAGTGGCGTTGCTTTGCCAGACACCGGCAAATGCTGTTGTCCACCCTTGCAGACCGGCTCGACGCCACCACCAGCCAAGGTCGGGATGGAGAAATTTGACCGAGCTGCCAACACTCAGCTCCAAACACGCAGCGGCGAATTTTTGGTGCTCGAGCACAGCCAGATTGGGATTCCAGTTGGAGCGGCTTTCACGTTCAGAAGTGCTGCCTCCCCCCGCGCATGCGCATGCACGCGTGCGTTGCCATCCCGTCGATTTCGCAAAGCCGCCGAGCTGGAATTTTCGTTGGCTCCCACGCTGCAACGCTCTGTGCCTGCTCGTCGCTCTCTGCTGCATGGCCGACGTGAAAAGCTCAAAGATTCGCCGTGGTTCCCAAGCCTCCCGATGCAGCGCCGTTGCCGAGGGGAAGCGAAGCGCAGCCAAACGATTTGCGAGCTTTATTTTTTCGCAGGCGACCCACGGCAAAGCTGAGGCCGAGAAATGAAAAAAGGTGGGAAATTCTTCGTCATTTTTTCCCTCCAGACGCGTTTGCAAGGGTCTGTGGCGAAAAACGTAGCCGCCTGGCAAGGCCTAGCACGCAAGCCCGATGGCCATGTCCGTGCATAGGCAGTGCATCGCAGTGCAGCGCAATTGCAGCGCAGGTGCATCTGCCAACCCTTCGCGCCTGCAGCAGATGGCGCTTCCTTGACATGGGCACAAGTGCCCCCTCGGCTCTGTCCCAAAGTTCGCCCTGACGCTTTCAAAGGATTTCGAGCACCGCTTCGCTCAAACCCTTCTGGCCACTTTCAACGGGTCCGTCCGAATCCTCAGGCACCTCGGCGGAACTTGCCACCGTCGGCATTGGTGTCCAGGAACTTTTCGGATGCTCCGCTGTGCGCGTGATTGTTGCAGTTCGAATGGATGATGAGGAGAAGAACGAGCCGAGTGCATCTGAAAGCGCAGCGTGGCTGGCAATGCGGAGATGCCTATCGAGGCGCGTGTTGAAAGCGGTTGGGCGCTCAGTCTCCTCACTCGGGTGGCTTCCGACAACAGACACTCGCTTCGGTGGGATTCTGGCACTGCACCCGTCGGGCTCGAAAAATTAGAGTCGCCTCACCGCCACCGCCAGCCCAACCCTTATCGCGCTTGGCAGTGTCAGCATCAGCACCAGGCTTCAGCCACACCCGACAGCCACCGCCCCTTGCTGCTGCCCGAAGCTGCTCAACAGCTCAGCAGCTCAGCCGTGGCTGCCGTCAGTCCGAGCTGGCTTTCTTCTCGTCGCCCACTCTTGGCCACTTTCAGCGAGCCACACGACGGTACAGCTCAGCATCGACAGATCCCTTATCAAGACCCCATCTCCGCCCCTGATCCTCCCGACCCGCCCTTAGGTCTTCATCACCCGTATCCTCTTCCTCTTTCTTCCCCACCGTCACCGTGGCCCACCCATCCTCATCACACTTCGACATGTCCGCCGCTACCGCACCCGCGCCCAACGGCATCACCTCGTCGCCTAGCAAGGCCGCCTTCGACCACAGCGCCGCGCTCAAGAAGATCGCCTCGGTGCCGCTCGTCTCGGACTCGCTCAGCTTTGCCCAGTCCACCATCCAGGCGCACCCGCTCCTCGCCACCACCTACGGTTACGGCGAGAACCTCGTCAACTCGTCGCTCAAGGCCGCCCAGCCCATCACCAACCGCATCCACCCGCAGCTCGCCTACGTCGACTCGCTCGCCGTCAAGTCGCTCGACTTTGCCGAGAGCAAGTGGGCCGCCCCCTTCCACACCAACACCCAGGAGCTCTTGGACGCCGCCAAGGTGCCCGCCGACCACGCCCGCGGCTACGTCCAGGCGTACACCGCTGCGCTCCACAAGGCGTACGGCGAGCGCGTCTACACGCCCGCCAAGTCGGCGTACGAGTCGCACATTGTGCCCGCCTACGACTCGGCCCACACCAAGTTTGACGAGATCAAGAGCCAGAACGCCTACCTCCAGCGCGCCACCGACATTGTCAAGGACCTCCAGGCCAACCTCGCCAAGACGCTCGAGTCGGTCTCGTCGCGCAGCAAGCACGAGGGCGACCAGGCCACCCAGAAGGCCCAGGGCATCTCGAACGCCATCTTTGCCGAGCTCGAGCGCGTGCGCCACTTTGCACAGAGCCTGCCCGCCGAGAGCCGCAAGCGCGTCGGCCCCGTCATGGACACCTTTACCGAGACGTACGAGCGTCTGAGCAAGGAGGCGCGCAACCCGGACGTGCCCGCCTCGACCCGCTTCCTCAACGTCGTCAAGTTTGTTCGCGAGCAGTCGCTCCCTGCGCTCCAGAAGGCCATTATCAACCCGTCCTCGTCGACGGCGCAGAAGGCCGAGTCGGTCATCGACTCGGCGGTTGACGCCGCCAAGTAAGCGAGTCTGGCTTGCTCTCCTATGCACACCATAGAGCGGCCCGCATGGTCATTCCGACGCGGTCGCCTCCCTCTCCCTTCTTTCCCCCTGAATGTTCTTCCCCTTCCCCCTCCAGTCTCGTTCCCACCGGCTCTGCTCCTCATAGCAGTGCCACGCTGTACTCGTTCCCAGTCTTGCCTGACAATTCTCAGAATACCCAATGATTTTTTCTTCTCATCTGCCGCGCGCGACGAGTGCTGAGTCCGTTTTGCGAATGATGGAATTGTTCCGTGGTGGTGCAGGGTCATGAAGTTGGTGGGGCGATGCGGGATACGCGCAGGGGCATTTGCGGGCCGTAGTCCTCCTGGCCTACGACGCGCGAGCGGATGACGGCGGTTTGTTTGGCCTCGACCTGCCAGCCGTCGACCTGGTCGAAGTGGAATCGGCCGACGAGGTGGCAAAGCATGGCCTTGAACTCGGCGAGTGCGAAGCGGTTACCGATGCATCCGCGCGGTCCGGAGATGAACGTCATGAGATGCATGGGTAGACCGTTGTGTTTGGCCTCGTCACGCAGGTTGATCCATCGCTCGGGGACAAAGTCGGCCGCATCGGGACCCCAGATGTCGGTATCCACATTGATCGCCTGGATGGGGATAAAGATGTCCCGACCCTTGGGGATGTGAATCGAAGTTAGGGTTGCTTTCCCATCGCGGGTGGGGTAGGGACGAGAGAGTGGAATGTCGCAATCGGCTTTGGATACGCGAACCGTGCTAGGGACTGCTGATTTGACCCGGAATGACTCCTTGCAAACGGCATCGAGATAATCCATGCCCATCAACTCGTCGTACCCGATCTCGTGGTCCATGTCGCGACCAAAGTGCTCGTGGATCTCGTCGCGCAACTTTTGCTGCAGCTCGGGCTTTCCCGCAAGCAGCCAGAGTGTCCAAGCGGTTTGGTTGGACGTCGTCTCGTGTCCGGCAATCAGCAGCGTAGTAATTTGACCGATCAACTCCTTGTCATCCAGCTTTTCTTTGGTGTTGACGTCAGCGGCCATGTTGGCGCGCATCATGAGATGCAGCAGATCCATGCCCGGAGCCACACCCACACCATCGGCGGCCTTTTCGTCGAAATCCGCCTTGGTCAATCCGCTGGTGGCCGTGCCGCGCGCAGCGAGTTCGGCAGCCATCTCGCCTCGGATCTGACGTTTCTTGCGCTCGACGATCTGCATAGATACGTCCTCGAGCTTGGCGTAGGCGTCTTGGGTCATGCGCTTGCGCTCGTTCGGAATGCGTTCGATCCATCGCAGCAAGCGATAGCGCGATAGATACAGCTGCAGGAATCGCGTCAGATTCACACTGAGCGTCAGCTTGAAGAGCGTATTGAACGCGTTGCCCAACACGTCGCCTGCACGCTCCTCGACCACGGATGGATCCACATCGATCTTGAGACTGTCAAAGTGGTAGCCGAAACCAGCATCGCCAATGATATCCAGCGCCGCTCGCGTGGTCCACCACGAGACGTCCAGCACGGGTGCACCGGGCCTGCTCACCTCGAGCGACTTGGGTGGTTGCGCAACAAACGGCGAGTTGATCCCGTCTGCACCCTCCCCCTTCTTGCCCGGAGTGGCGGCGGCGGAGCGGTCGATCATGTCGCCGATCTTATCGGCCAGATCGCGCGAATAGCGCATAAAGATGGGATTGAGCTCGCGGATGGCGCCGACACTAAACGCGGGCTGGATGATCTTTCGCTGGCGCTTGTGGATGTCGCCCTCGACGACGAGGACGCCCTCGCCGAGAAAGTTGCGCAGCACCAGCCGCGTGATGTACGGCTTTTCAAAGTTGTACGAGTTGGCCGCGCTGAAGATGTGCAGCATGGCGCGCGGGTCGGCGATGAACACGAGTGGCGAGTAGAAGATGCCGCGGTACGTGTAGACTTTGGTCTTGAGCCGGCGTGCGAACTCGAGATGCCCCTCGGACGGAGGATGACGCCGGATAAAGCCCAGGTTGCCGGTGACAAAGCGCCACCGATCCGTCTTGCCGGGTGTGGGGAAGTGCGAGTACGGATCGATGCGAAGCACGTCCAGCTTGAGGTAGCGGTAGAACGCCGTGCCGAACATCAAGGCGGCCACCGCCAACGCAAGCGTCAGTGGAATCAGGACGGCGAGTGCTAGTGATGACCAGACGGGTCGGTGCCGGATCAACGAGAGAGCGCGTTCGAGCTGCGCCCATAGCGGGCTCAGCATCTCGGACGACAGTCGAGCTTTCATGTTGCTGTGTCGGGGACGGGTCCAGCTCTCCAGGAGCGAGGTTTGAGCCGCTTTATACAGATCCGACGGTGCGCAGTAGAGGACCGAGCAACGGTAAGCGCAGCACTGCAAGGCAGGATGAAGAGCGGGAAGAAGGAGGGAATGCTGACGCGGCCTTGGTTGAAAGGACCCTTGGCGGCGACCAAAGCTGTTACTCGAGCCAACGACAGATCTGGGGAAGGCCGCGCGTTGGTGTGGAGTGGTGGTAACGTCGAGCAAGCACGGCTACCCCACACCGATAGCGGCGCCCTGACTTTCCTCCGAAACCTCCGTACAAGCCAACGGCGATTTGTAATATGCGCCCTTTCGGTACGTCGGCCTTCTTCCCGAGCAAACACATGCTGTCATGGACGCCTCTATACGATCTCTTCGCTGGTATCCACAACTACAACAAGTCAGGCATGAGCTGATGACCCAAGGCAGTGGATACGCTGGACTGCGGTGGTGGGGCACGGAAACGTCATTCGCCGCGGGGTCGCCACCAAATATTTCCAACTTTTGAAATTGTGAGACCGAACCTTGCTGTTCCTCGCCCCAAAAAATTCCTCCACCCGGCGAACGAGGTTTTTTCGACCGAAAGCCGAGTTCTGCTGCTCAGCATCGGACCCTGACTGGATCCTTCCTTCCTGCGGTGCCTCTTGGCTCCCATCCACCACGCTTCTCACCGAGCTTTCGCGCGTCTTTCCGAGCGAGTGCCATCACTCTGGCACCCATAAAGAGCGGAGATGCCGTCGCAGCTCGAGGAAGAGGTGGCTCAGCGCCTCGCCACGTCGTTGAGCCTGCCCAACGCCAACGAGCTCATGGCGCAGCGGGTCATTGCTCTGTCCAGATCCCTGCCTACAGACAAGGCGTTCGTCAATGCTGCACGCGCCTTTGGTCGATTTGACGAGGCCTTTCTCGTGGGGCTCCGAAGCTTCATCGCATCACACGCGGACCAGAGCAGCGGCGCCTCCAACAATGGCGCTGGCTCGGACGCATCAGCATCTTCCACACACACACGGCAACCCGAGAGGGCTGGTCTGGCCACCTTGGGCGGCGAAAAGCATGTATTTCGCTCCAACAAGCCGAAGAGCTCCCTTTCGGCCCTTTCGGGCACAGCAGCAAAGCGCGCAGACACCCGAGATGCGCCATCCTCCCATCCATCCGACGCCAACCACTCTGCGAAACGTCCACGCATCTCCAGCACGCAGCTCAGCCATCTCGATGAGGAGCCAGAAACGCCTGCACCAAAAGCAGCGTCATCGGATCCAGTCTTCAAAGCACCTGCAAGGCCCGCCTCCCACGCTCAGGCGCAAGCCCGACCTCGTGGCAGTGAAACGCCCAGCCATCCAGGTGGTCTCACCGAGACCGCTGCACGCCGACTCGAAGAGCATCGTCGAAAGCGCGCCATGGCTGCAGAATCATCGGCAAAAGCGAAGCAGGCGGCGTCGAGCTCCACTTCATCCTCTAGTGCAGCATCCGCGTCCTCTGCCTCCCGACCCGCCGATGCAAGGTCCGACCCACGTCAAGCTTACGGACGCAACCAAGACTCTGAACGATATCGTCGCGAAAGCGAACGCGACCACCGTAACGGCCGAACACAGCAGCCAGACACGGGTTCCTCAAATCGCTTCGACCGTCGCACGTGGGACTCGACGCCGCGAAATTTGCCAAACAGAGACGATGCCCGCGACCGATGGTCGCCACGAACGTCCGACACGCCAGGCTCATCGCGTCGATCCGACGGCAGTCTCGCTTCGACACGGTCTGCCGGCTCGCGTCGCTGGGACGAGACACCGTCCCGGAACGCACGCTCGCCCTTGCCGTCAAACCTTGACGACAACGCCGAAAGGGAAAGCACGGACTGGGACCAGGACGACCGCCAGCTGGATCGCGAGTGGTACGACATGGAAGAGGGCGGCGTAGCAGCAGACGAAGAGCACAATCCCTTCGCCCAGTACGAAGATATGACGGGACAAGTCGCAGCACCACTCGCTGCCAAGAAGGACAAGGTGACTGCGCGTCAGGCACAGTACAACGCCGACTCGGACGCCTGGGAACGCAACCGCCTCCAGACCAGTGGCGTCGGCCCGCGATCCGCCATCGACCTCGACAACATGGACGACGACGCCGAGAGCCGCGTGCACCTGCTCGTCCACGATCTCAAGCCCCCCTTTTTGGACGGCAAGACCGTCTTCACCAGGCAGCTCGAGCCCATCAATCCAGTCAAAGATGGCCTGTCCGACATGGCCGTCTTTGCGCGCAAGGGCAGCCGTCTGGTGCGCGAGACACGCGAAAAGGCAGAGCGCGCCAAGGCAGCTGGCAAAGTCGCCGCCATGGGCGGCACCACCCTCGGCAACATCCTCGGCGTCAAAGCGGACGACGACCAGGATGACCCTGCTCCGAACCAGACTGCCCCAACCAACGGTGCTCAAAGTGACAAGGCGGCAACAGCCGAAACGACGGACGAGAACGAGGGCCGGGGCGACTCGCAGTTTGCCAAGCACCTCAAATCTTCCACGGGTGGCTCCGAGTTCAGCCGTACCAAGACGCTCAAAGAGCAACGCCAGTTCCTGCCTGCGTTTGCATGTCGCGACGATCTCATGCGCATCATCCGCGAGAATCAGGTGATTGTCGTAGTGGGCGAGACCGGCTCGGGCAAGACGACGCAGCTGGCGCAGTTCCTTCACGAAGACGGCTACACGCAGTACGGCATGATCGGATGCACGCAGCCGCGGCGTGTGGCAGCGATGAGCGTGGCCAAGCGTGTGAGCGAAGAGATGGAGTGCAAGCTCGGCGGCACCGTCGGCTACTCGATCCGCTTCGAGGACTGCACGAGCAGCGAAACCAAGATCAAGTACATGACCGACGGCGTGCTGCTGCGCGAGAGCCTCAACGAAGGCGATCTGGATCGGTACAGCGCCATCATCCTAGACGAGGCGCACGAGCGCTCGCTCAGCACCGACGTGCTCATGGGTCTCCTGCGCAAGATCCTTCAGCGTCGACGAGACCTCAAGCTCATCGTCACCTCGGCCACCATGAATGCCGACAAGTTTGCCGCGTTCTATGGTGGTGCACAGACCTTTACGATTCCAGGACGAACGTTCCCCGTGGATGTGCTGTTTAGCAAGACGCCGTGCGAGGACTACGTGGACAGCGCGGTCAAGCAAGCATTGTCGATCCACCTCTCGCATCCCAAGGGCGATATCCTGGTGTTCATGACGGGGCAGGAGGATATCGAGGTGACGTGCCAGGTGATCCAGGAGCGGCTCGAGCAGATTGACGATGCGCCGCCTCTGCTGGTGCTGCCGATCTACTCGCAGATGCCCGCCGACCTGCAGGCCAAGATCTTTGATGCGGCCGAGAACGGCGAGCGCAAGTGCATCGTTGCCACCAACATTGCCGAGACCTCGCTCACCGTCGATGGCATCATGTACGTCGTCGATGCCGGCTACTACAAGCTCAAGGTGTACAATCCCAAGGTGGGCATGGACTCGCTGCAGATCACGCCGATCTCGCAGGCGAATGCCAACCAGCGCTCCGGACGAGCGGGTCGCACGGGAAGCGGCACGGCGTATCGACTGTATACCGAGATGGCGTTCCGCAACGAGCTGTTTGCCAACACGATCCCCGAGATCCAGCGCACCAACCTGGCCAATACGGTGCTGATGCTCAAGGCGCTCGGCGTGAGCAATCTGCTCGAGTTTGACTTTATGGATCCGCCGCCACAGGAGACCATGCTGACGAGCATGTACCAGCTGTGGGTGCTGGGTGCGCTCAACAATGTGGGCGAGCTGACGCCTCTGGGTCGCAAGATGGGCGAGTTCCCCATGGAGCCTTCGCTGTCCAAGATGCTCATCACGAGTGTCGAGTACGGATGCTCGGTGGAGATGCTTACGATTGTCAGCATGCTGTCGGTGCCGTCGGGATTCTACCGACCCAAGGAGCGACAGGAGGAGAGCGATGCTGCGCGCGAGCGCTTCTTTGTGGCCGAGAGTGACCACCTGACGCTGCTGCATGTGTACAACCAGTGGCGCAACAACGGCTATCGCGATTCGTGGTGCAATCGTCACTTTCTGCATCCCAAGACGCTGCGCAAGGCACGCGAGGTGCGCGCACAGCTCGAGGACATCATCAAGTCGCAAAAGCTGCGCCTCGTGTCGTGCGATACCGACTGGGACGGCATCCGCAAATGCATCGCCGCCGGCTATTTCCACCAAGCTGCGCGATCGGCAGGCATTGGAGAGTATGCAAACTGCCGCACGGGCATCAAGATGCATCTGCATCCAACATCGGCTTTGTACGGACTCGGATATTCGCCCGAGTATGTCGTGTACCACCAGGTGGTACTTACGTCCAAGGAGATGATGAATACCGTCACTCAGGTGGATCCACACTGGCTAGCCGAGCTCGGCGGTGCTTTCTACTCGATCAAGGAGCGCAATGCTACCACGGGCGCTGCAAGGGCCAAGCGCACCGGCGACCTCGACAGGCTCGCAAGCATCGAGGAGCAGATGCAGAAGGACCGCTCGCAGCAGCTCGAGCACGAAAAGCAGCAGCGTGACCGCAGCCAGCTCAGCCGGGCAGCTCAAACTCCCGCTATCGCCACCCCTGGCGCCACGCCCATGCGATCCCGCGGCAGGCGTTTCTAGCGCGCCGGCATGGCTTTCATCCTGCTGGATGTATGGAACAGAATCGCGTCTTCCTTTATGCCTCATCGAGATATCGGCTGAAACATTGACGCTTGAGTGTGCATTGCGACTGATGATGCGATACGCAAAAGAAGAGATGCTGTCTATCGGACGACCTGGCTGGACTTGACCTCCTTGCCGGTCTTCTTGATCTTCTCGAGCACGGTGTCGAAAGGAGCCGAGCCGCGCACGACGACCGACTGCGACTCGAGCGAGACGTCGTACGAGTCCACGCCTTGCATCCATGCAAAGAGGAGAAGAGTGTGTGAGCGGTGTCTCGAGACGATGAGGGCGGTGTGGAGTGGAAGGGGCTTACCTTGGAGTTTGGAGAGAACGCGCTCGACGGCACCGGAGCAGCCGGAACACGTCATGACGACCTCGAACTTGTACTCGTGCTACCGCGACCCGGGATCGAGCTAGATTAGCATTAGGGCGATTGGTGTGCTTGATGGAGAATGCAGTACGTACCTCGCTCATCGTGTTGTTGGTCTGAGTAGGAGATGGTGGTAGAGCGACAAGTGCGGGTGGGTGCTGAATCCAGGGTCCATACCCGCACTCGCGGACCGAGGTTCGGAAGTTAACCTCCACACGGCTCTCCACGCACGCAATGCGCCTCGGAGCCTTTTTTACGTCCGGTCGGGCGGGAAGCCTCCACGTCCCATCCGGAGCATTCAGCCGCCCGGCTTTGGCGAGACTGTGAGTGCCATGTCATTCGCACTCATCCACCGCCAGCTCAGAGCTTGCCAACAAGCCCTGCCTCTTCATTGTCAAGACGTCGCTATAATACAGTCTGTATGAGTAGTGTGATTAGCAGGACGCCGCGCGCAGGTTCCGGAGTTGGCATTAAGCCCCCCTCCCGACCCCTGGTAGCAAGCTCGACACGTTCCAAGACTACAAGGAGCAGCTGGCTCCCAACCACTTCAGCGCTGCCGGACCTGAGCAGCAGCATGCCTCGTGACAAGCTGGCGAGCGCCTCTGAGTTGTCGGACCCCTCAGAATCATTGGGTGGGGAGGGAAATCTCTGGCGCTTCCTGCAGGCATGCTGGCTGTACGGATATCCCAATTGTGCCCTCGACGACATCTTCCAGCGTGCCCTCACGATAAACAGGACGTCTGCCAAGACCAAGGGCAACTACTGCCCTGTCGAGACGTCCATACATACAAAGGGCAGTGTTTGTCAAGGCAGATCTGACGCATGTGATGCTCACTTTTGAGCTCGGCTTCAAAACCATGCTGGCCCTCGAGCTGCACCGGTCTGGGCACCGGTGCCTCTCGAGGAACCAAAAGTCAGCTGTGCGCTCACAGCAACGCATTCATAATATACTCAAGAGCACCGGTCATCAAGAAGTGGCAAGCCACCACCTCAACCTGGCTCGCCAGCAACAAGCAAGCCAATGCCACAATGCAATCCCAGTGGAAAGACCTGCAAAAGCGCTGTTACGGCAACACTGCCCTGCTCAACGAACCAGGACAAGCCTCAGACCGAGGACGGCATCTGGCTTCCGCTGTACGCCGATGGCATGGCAGGAGACGAGGCGAGCCTCCTCCAGACCAGCATCAGCTACGGCTGCAAGTTGCACAAGCGACGCACCGAGCTGCAGGTAGCTAGGGATGCGGAAGAAGCTCGGTAAGTTACCCCTTGACAGTCCCATTCTGCGATGCACAGCGACCAGAAGCTCCTCAGAACGGTGTCGCGCTGGCCGCTTGTCCGATCACAGAATGGCACTGCGCTCGCTTCTTGCCCTTGCCCACAGACACTGACGACGCCTCCTCCTCTTTCTTTTCTTTTCCATCTGCACTGCAGTCAGGCTGCCTTGACCGCCGAGGCCAAGAGACGTCTCGCCGCCAAACAATCCAAGCAAAAGGGCAAGGCAGCGTCGTTTTCAGCAACGCGGGCGAAGAGATCCAGAGCTCCGCCTCAGCCAGAGGACATGGACGAGGAGCAGGACGAGCTCGAGTCCGATAGCAAGGAGGAGGAGGTCGTGCAAGCCGAGACCAATGCCGAGGAGGCTTTACGCTTGGTCGGACGTCAGGTCAAGCCCGATACTTGGCGCACCAAGGCAGAGGGAAAGACCTGGAAGCACGTCGCCGATAACCCTTCGCTGGTCAAGCATCTGTCCGCCATCAAGGACGTGCCCAAGGATGTCTCGTTCACCAACATTGTGGCGGTCAAGGTCGACCTTGAAGACACCTCTGGCTCGATCGCTGTGGACCAGGAAGCCGGCCAGGTGGAGCACGACATCCGGGGCATCGACGGCGACCTCACCTCGGACGAGTGCCTGCGAGCCTTCACCTATCTCTTCCGCACCTATCCGATGCGGCTGCAATCAGGGCCGCTGACTCGTTCGCCATCCCAAGCAAGGCGGCCCTGGCTCAATACGAGCCATTCGACCTCACCAAGCTTGGCTACCGTACTCACCCTTTGGACGCCAAGCTAGACAAGGCTCTCCGTCAGCGGCTGACGCTGTCCGAGACGCAGCTTCAGTCAGGCCTATGGTTCTTTCGGAAGGTGGCCTTCGACATCCGCAAGACGTCCGCGCTGCGCCAGCAGATGGAAGCTCTCTCGGACGAGGAGCTGTTCGACCGAAGAGACTGGTCAACCGGAGGCAGTAAGTATCGGAAGAGGCGAGGCCAGCTCATGCCTTGACTTGGACAGTCGAGCCATAACCGTTCTTGCTGGGTTCATGCCTCGACAGAACCGTTCTGCGCGTATGCTCCTGCATCGGTACCGTTCTGCAGCGCATCTCGACACGCAGGAGCACTGTCGTTTGTACAAAGCGCTGACCCCTGTTCTCTCTCTGTCTCTTTTGATGCGCACAGTTGTGGCCGATCCACCCGGGCTTGGCAAGACGGTGATTGCGATCCTCTTCGCACTCATCTACCGCAAGCTCAAGGTCTCCAACAAGCCGTGCCTCTTCATCGTCAAAACCTCGGTCAGCCAGCAGTTTGGCAAGGAGGTCTTCCGTTTCGTGGACGTCACGCTCGGCGACGTGTCGGACGGCGAGCTGCATTTGCTCAGCCTCACCAAATCCAACGACAAAGGGAAGCGCGTGCCTCGGGAATTCAAGGACAACGACCGTACCATGTGGAATGCGGACCTCTTGGTCGTGGTGTCCAACAAGAACACGGCCCCAAAGGCCAAGAAGGATCCTCGCTTGCCCTTCCACACGTCGTGGAAGTATGGTCTTGTCTGCTACAATGAGGTGCACGACCTCCCTCAGACCACGGCAGGCACCTTCTCGATGGAGTACAACGTGCAACGCGAGTTCACCGTTGGCTTCTCGGGCACGCCCATCCGCAACGTGGAGCACTTCCTCTTTGTGATGGCGTTCTGCGGACACCCTGCTGCCAAGATCGGTACGGCGGAAAAGGCTCGAAGCCTTGGCCGAGCGATCAGCAACAGCATGACGCTTGATGAGGCCGACAGGGAGAACGTGGGACGAGTCTTCCGAGACAACATCCTGCAGTGGACGACGCAGAGAGACGTCTCTCTGATTGGTCGAGGTGGCGACCTTACGGCACTCGAGACGCTGGTCTCCCGTCTCTACGGCGAGCGCATGCCCCAGGAGCAGCATCTGGCTTCCGCGGTACGCAGATGGCATGGCAGGGTCCGTGCAGGCTCGCGGACTCTTCTGCTTCCTTTGAGCTTGGGTCGCCGACAATGCCCCTCGTCTCCTGCAGCACGACACGGGTCTCCAGCCTTTCTCGTCCACCACTCCTCCAGCAGCAGAAGGCATGGCGACGCAGCAGCTGCGTGATCGACGACCCTGCACACCGGTGCCACCGTCGCCAACGATCTCGGCGCATTCGAGCCCACAGCCCCTGCCCCTCGAGCCATCGACCCTCGAGCCAATGATCATCGACCTGACTCGCAGCCCTAGCCCTCCTGCCGCTGGGACGGAACAATTGATTGGATGGAGTCCCGAAGCTGATGAGAGTAGAATATGTGCTCAGTCTCCGTTCTTGGCCAATGCAAGAGTGGAGCTCGAGCGACCGTTCTTTGACTATGTCTGGCCAGGAATTCTGACGTTGGGTCGTGCTGGCCAAACACCTTCAAGAAGCGTGGCAGCGTCATCTCGTCTTTGCCGATGAGCGGGATGCTGGCGATGTAGTAGACCGTGTCTCGGCTGCAAGCAGCTCCTCAATCATGTGGTGCATCTTTGGCGCCGTCTTAAACACCTTGCCCAGCATGTCCTCTTTGAGAGCGGCTGTTTGGCCCGATGTGATTGCCAATGGGCTTGCGGTGGCTGGCTTTCGTCCGCACACAGCTGCAGGCGAGTGGCGGCAGCGTGAACACATCCGAAGAGCTCGCAGTGTGTGGTTGATACACAGGCTAACACAGCACCTCTGACTCAACTGCCATTCCATAACCTACGCAGGCAACAGAAACACATTATGCATGGATACCCTGGCGGTAGTTCTGCAATCTCGACCAACAGAGCGATAAGCGCAGTCGTGGGATTCGGCGAGAGCGAAGTTCACGTAGTAGAGACCCTAGCCATCATGCATGTGCGGACGGATTTGACGGCTTGCCGAACAGACATCAGGTACGAATGTTGGCATTTCACCAGAGCATTTGCGGGACAATTTTCCTCCGGACCCTCAATCTCGTAGACGGGCAATATTCGGCCCGACTGTGCTGTACTGTATGCGATCAGCAACGACCGCTGACAATATGATCCTGCAATGAAGCAACACGCCTGCATCGGGCATTGCAAGTAGCTGTATACCGAATTTGACGCCGAATGAACGCGTGTTGCCGCAGTCACGACAATGTTTGTGTGGGCTAAACAAAGACCCTATGTTGCTACAGGTGGCAGGCGAGCCCGCAATGCACCTTGATACTGCCGCATCGTAGGGAATGCCAAGCCGGATTCCTTGAATGCGGCCTGTCGTAAATCCCACCAGTGGATTGTGAGCTTATAATGAACGGCTGCTCACACTTCAGTCGCCTATTGTGAAGAGACTTCACTGATGATTTCTATTGAAGAAAAGTTACGGAAGTGTCAAAGCCATAGCAACCTATTACGGTATACACGGTACTGCCGCATTGCTGCTGACCACCAATGAAGCTGCACGTCGTGCCTAATGAAAGAGCGAGTCACACTTTACGATACCGTATCATAGCCTACGAAGTCCTCAGACGTTAGTGCGATCATGAAACAGCGCAGCACGTTAGATATGCTTGTGCCCTACATATGGGCCCTCCTTCCTAACAGGAGACATCTTTCCATCATCACATCTTTCCATCTTCTTCCTCCCTCGTACACAGACACACACTCTTTCTCTCTCTTTGCCAGCCATGATTTCCATGTCGAAGCTGACCGCGGTGCTGTTCGCCGTCCTCTTCGTGCAGGCCACTTTCGTGGCTTCTGCCCCGCTCGATGGCGCTGGCGCTCATGAAGCCCGTTTCGTACTCGCCGCCCGGGCATCGGACGACACCTCTGGTCATGATGTCTGGGCGAACATGCCTGATTCCTCCGCCACAAGTCGGCCCAATCGCGCGCTCTACCCTGGTACTGAGGTACCTTCGGACGTCATGACGCACCTGATGTCCGAGCGACATGGCGTCGAGAACCACGTGCCCATGGGCGTCGTACAGGGCCACTGGAACAACGTACTGGGCAAGTTCCACGAGATGATTATCGACCCCAACACCCCAGTCTCGAGTATGAACCACGATGGCGAAACGTACTTCCTCACTCGCTTCCGCCCCATGCGCGGATCTCCGTACCCCGAATGGTCGCAGATGGTGGTTCCCACCACTTACGTCGAGCGGGAGGCCATGTACCCGATCTTTATTGGAAAGATTGGCTCGCGCACTGCTCACGGTCAGAACGTCCAACTGCTCGCCATTCGATCGCCTGCAACCGTGGCTGAGCGTGCCAGCTTCGTCAACAGTCTCAAGAACTCGCGCAACCTGGTCCATATCACGCATCTTCTTTAGCGCGAACTGAACGGTACCTCGCGTGCCTGCGGGGATGGCACGAATCGCCATTCGGTGTTATGAAATGCTTGCTCGACGCCCGCTCTCTTCCCCCTCCCCTTCATTGTCTCTCTCACTCATTGTCGCTGGTGCCGTGCGCAACAGAGTTGACATGCTTCGGCCTCTATCATATCACCGGCAGCACTTCCTTTTGTTAGTCCTCACTCAAAACTGTCTTTCGTGCTCGCTTACCTAGTAACTGAAAACTTTCGACACCCGTATATACCGCACGATCGCGCCGTCGTGGTGAGAAAATAACAAGCTCGGCGATATCCGACCTTTGTTTGTTGCCAGCACAGCAAACGACGGGATTGCCGTGCCTTCATCATCGAAGGACGGAGACTCGGTCATAAATATACATGATGAAAGTGCGCTTCCGTCGGAAGAAGTTGTGGGCAGCCCGGGTGCTCAGGAGCTCTTCCGGAGACACCGTCGGCAAACTCGTCAAAATGGCTGGGTGGCTACACGAAATAGTCGAACGTCGTTGAAGGGTGCTACCATATGATCAGCATGCCCTGACAACCCGACGACCTGTCGTGGGAAAACAAGGCCGAGGGGCCCCTGAAAGCTACAACGTTCTCCCTCTTGACGATGGCCGAGTGAATCAACGGCCATTATCTTAGCGACAGCGGCCCTGGTGTATATATGAGCGGTCAAGAGCGCTTTGTGGATCTTTGAACCTGCTTCTTATCGACTAGATTCAAGACAAAATGGTGTCGCACAGCTGTCTGACACTCCTCGCCACTTTGGTCGCACTTTCTTGCCTCCGGGCTAGCTTGGCCATGCCAGTGCGTCCCATCCTTCCTTCGTTCCTTGACGTGCGTCATCGCGTCGCATTCTGGCACGGCGGCTCGGAGTCTGCGGAGCCGAGAGGCCAGTATCCGCTCGTTCACATGCCTTCTGACATGACCAGTGCTGGCTTGACGACCCGGCCGCCTCGCTTTTTGGAGCTCGAACACGACCACATCCTTGTCGCACTGAAGGGCGAGCGCATGCGTTTCGATCCCACGCTCGCCGCGCTTCGTGCTCATCCAATTGTCATTGGACGAGGGACGCGAGTAGAAAGGGAAGCCTTTGATCTGGTCAACTTTCCGGGCACAAAAGTCTCGCATGTGCTGAACATCCCTACCGATCAGCGTGCTTTGCAGGCATTTCAAGCCGGAGGCATGCGAACGATCCATGTGATGGCACCGGTCCCTGTCAATCAAGAGTGGTACAGCATGCTCCGCATTCCCTACACAGCGCAGACGCAACAGCATCCTCCGCTGCTCATCTATGAGCTCTCCGTCGCCAAGCGGCAGCAGCACGACTACATCAGGCTCATTGGCGCTGCGATCGTGCAGGAGCCCCAGAATCCGTTCAACTTTTTGATCAGGTGGAACTCGAGTCCGGCCGTGACGAGCGTCGCACGCATCCAAGAGTATACGCGCTCGTTTTAGACCCATTGCAATCCAGTTGAATGTTGTGAGACGTTGCTTGTGAACAGATGACTGCGATGCGTGAACGCGGGGTAACGAACATCGTCGGCTTAGGATTCAGCAATTGACATCACCGGGTACCGCCCGAGGACGGTCATTTGAGGGAATGGCCCTTTGTTTGGAGCCCGTGCGGATCTAGTGAGGCGAACGAAGCGCCCGAGCACCGAGGTATCGAGAGGCCCAAGCCCATCTCAAAATTGTGGGTCGTCAGAAGGCTCTTGGCCACCAGCATCTCTGCAGCGCTTGGAGGCCATATGCGGGAGGCCTGTGCTCGACGAGACCCACCTGCGACGTGGGCTGTGGTGGCGGTAATGAAGTGGACGCGCCTGCACCAGCCCACTGGGCCCCTGCGACTTCATATTGTTGCCATCCACACGACTCTTACAGTAGCGCCTCCTGAGAGGGTGACGGGGGCCACAAGCTCGAGGACGTGCTTGCTTCTTGACCCTCAACCTCGATCTTTCCGAATCTCTCCTCCTTTTCATATCTTCTCTCCGTTCAACTCGATTGTAGCTATGGTTGCTGCTAAGCGCACGATCAAGCTCACCTGTGCACTGGTGCTGCTGCTCTCTGTAGTTGCAGCCGTGTCGGCCCAGGGCGACAACAAGGCTGCCTCTCCAGCCGCATCGCAGGCACCTTCGGCAGGCAAGCCTGCGCAAGGAGGTCAGCTTGCATCTTCGCCCAACGGCGACGACGATGACGACGACGATGATGGGGGCAACATCTCATCGCCCGCCGGTGGGGCGGATGCCAAGACAATCTTGGCTCACTCTTCGCACATGATGGGTAGCAACGACGATGCTACCGATGGCGATGAGGATGCCAAGGACCCGCACGCTACGGCCAAGAAGCACAATGGCGGTCACAACGGCCAGTGCGTGACCGAGTGCGCGTCCAAGTCGACCCAGGACGCAGGATGCGGTACGGACCTGAGCAAGCCCGACTGCTTCTGCAAGGCTCCCTCGTTCGTCGACGGCACGTTTGCCTGCATCAATGCTACCTGTCCTCAGCAGTTCCATGGCGCCGCTGGTGTCGTCAAGAGCATTTGCAGCGTGGCGGGTGCACCGGACCTCAAGATTCCCGGCTACACTTCGCCCGACAACCTCGAGCACATGCCCACTATCAACGATGGCAACAACACCAATACTACCACCACTCCTGGTGCGGGTGCGGGCGCGGGTCCTGGGTCTGGTGCGGGGTCGACCTCGACCTTCACCATGCCCAAGTCGATGCAGACCCCAACGCAAAAGGTCCCCACCGGCCCCGCGGGCTCGGGATCGGGTACGGGCACGGCTACGACGTCCGGTGCTGGACGCATGGACATGGTCGGTGTGGTGTCGATGGCCGCTGCAGCTGTCACCATCGCCTCGGCTGCTGGCCTCCTTGTGCTCTTCTAAGCCGCTCCCAACTCTCTCGCTCATATTTTGCTTTTCTCAGTCATTTCTCTGCTTTCGCGTTCATCGACAGTCCTTCCAGTCATCCTTTCTCTCTCTCCTTTCTCATCCAAGTTTGCTCACAATTCAAGGTTCGTCTTGCACGCCATAGGACGAAAGGTGTGATGCTAGACGGTGACTTTCGATTACGAAACCAAGTTTAGAAGGCATGCGAGCCCATGATGCGGCTTGGCTTCATCTCTGCAAAGTCGCGCGTGACCTTATCAAGACCATCTGCGCTCCTCTTCTGTGCGGACTCCTGACCCTGTTGGGGTACGAGCTTCCAGAGCTTGATGCCGTGCTTTGGCACCGTGACATTCTCGATGCTTCCACTGACCGTACCGACGAGCATCTTGTCCAAGGCAACTGGTTCTGTGGGGTTCTTTGTGAAGTCGACGCCCTTCCAGAGGTCGTAGGCGGTCCAGGACTGCTGTGCGAGATCCTCGCCCTCGAGGTACTCGTCGTAGAAGACGTCGTCGAGGCTGATGGACATGTTCTTGGGCGATTCGGATACGTTGATGACTGCAACGGCATAGGTGTTGTTGGAAAGACCGATCTTCCACAGCTGCGTGTTGCCGTCCGACTCGTGCTTCTTCCACATGCGCGTGGCGGGCGAGCCCTTGGGGTCCTGCGAGATGTCAATGACGTGCTTGTTCTTGATGATCGCCCTGGTCTGGTTGGTCATCTTGGTGAGGTCGTTGCCGAGGATGAGCGGAGACTTGACCATGGCCCACATGGAAAAGTGCACCAGGCTCTCGTCGAGGCTGAGACCGCGGTTGCCCACTTCGAGCATGTCGAGGTCGTTCCATGCGCCCGGGTACGCCTTCTGGCCAAGACTAGCTGCAAAATCTAGGATCTTGGCGACACTGCAGTGGAAGCCCTGAAGATTGCACGTCGTGATGTCGGTGCATGGGCACCTGTCGTCGTCGCGGTTGAAAGAGGGGTAGATGTCACCCGAGATGCGCCACGAGTTGGCGATCTCCTGTGCGAAGAGCCAGGGCCAGTCCTCGCCCCAGTTGCACATGGAGTAAAGAATGGGGTCGCCCTCGGTCTTGTTGAGCGCCTGGGACATTGCATTGTATCGGTCGAAGGAGATCTTGGGCGTGCCCTGCTGACCTTGGTTGAAGCAGTTGTCGTACTTGAGGTACTCGAAGCCAGCGTTGGACCAGCTCTTGGCGTCGACGTCCTCATACCCGAGCGAGCCGATGTGGTGTCCGCAGGTCATGGTGCCTGCAGACGAGTAGATGCCGGCCTTGAGGCCGAGAGCCTTGATCTCGTCGACGATGGGCTTGAGGCCGTTGGGGAACTTTTCTGGATTGGCAGGAATCTCCTTGGTGTCAGGATCACGCTGGTCGGCCTGCCAGCAGTCGTCGATGATGACGTAGTTGTAACCGAGCTTGTCGAGACCCTCGCTCTTAATGGACCTAGCGGCGGAGAGGATGGTGTCTTCGCTAATGTTGCAGGCGAAGGTGTTCCATGTGTTCCAGCCCATCTGAGGGGTGAGTGCGAGGCCGTTGTTGTATGCCGAAGCGAAGCCGGCGAGTGCCAGAGGCACGAGGGCAGCAAAGGTAGTGGAGACCATGTTGCCGAGTAGGTATAGGAGGGTAGAGATGGGTGGGCGAGGAAGGAGCGAGTTTCCGACGAGCTTCTTTATACGTGTGGCGGCGGTCGATCAGCGGTCGATCAGGGTCTTTGCTGAGTGTCGGGGAGGAGCGGAGAGGGCCTTAGTGGAGTAAGCGGCGGGGTCCTGAGAGAAGGAACTGTATAGCCGCAGCTGGGCATCAACGGTTTGTTTGGCATGAGCAAGCGAGTAGCGGGCGCAAAGCTGATTGGGCGTGGGGGAGGTGGGGATGCGGCATGTGACTCTTCCGAAGCGGGGATGGCGGTGAACGCCGACCGAGTCCGCCGCGGGAGGGGGCGTATACGGCCTGTCGACGTTGGCGAGTCGACCTTGTGGAGAAGGTTGCGGGGACGGGCTTGGGGCTCCAGAGAGTGCAGCAGCGGTGTTCTTCGGGCCTGGTCGGCGGGCGCTCAGTGTGGAGGAGCCTGGCCAACATGTGCGAAGGAGCACGGCGTGCTATGGCAAGCCCACTGTGTGCGAGCCGGAAGCCGAGAGGGCCGAGGAGAGCCGGACCAACCTTGGCAAGCGAGAGCAAGACATTCCGAAATCGGCGCGAGAAGCTCTCGGTTAGGACGGAGCGGCAGGTGGTGGTCGTGGTGGCGGCAGAGGGCGAGGAGGAGGAGGATGCTGTGCGCACTGTGACGCTGTTGGACAAGCGGAGCCCAAAAGTTTTCTCGCTTCGCTACGCGGCGGAGAGATTTCGGTGCAAATTGTTTGGGCTGCAAAGCGCCGGCTGGCCATGCTCTTGCTCTTGCTCTTGCTCTTGCTCATCCCAATTGCACAGACTCGCCCTTCAACGGTGGGTACTGTGATCTGGCTCTTGCTGTTTTGGTTGCAGGGCAATCAGGAGGGAGCAGGATAAAGCGGCGGGTGCGTCCAACCAACCTTTGTGGTGGGGCGGCTCACGGTCGAAGATGCCGCGGCGCTTTTCTCGGAGGCTGTTCGGCTCGGTCCAAATTTAGCCGGCCGTCTTTGACCGAGGCATTTGCATGTTAGATATGACAACATAACAGTGTCAAATTGTCGCCCCGGTGTTGACCTGTGGAGAAGGAGCAACGAGAGGGTCCACTTTGCCCGGAGCTGCACGCGGCGCGCACGGATGCGGCTTCCACCACCATCCACCTCGACGTCCGCACCGAGCCTGGTCCCTGCTAGTCGCTCCTCGCCAAATTCTTGGCTCGCCCATAGGGCTCAGGATACCATGGAGCTGCCCCTCCCATCTCCCAGCTCGTTGCCCTCCCATCTCCCAGCTCGTTGCAATAATGGATGCCGATCTGGCGCGCGAGCTCCGCGAAGCCACGGACCAACTCCTCGACGTCGTGCGTCCACAGCCATCCGCCTTCCCCGCCTCGCCGCATCTGCAGCAGCTTCCATTACCCGCCAAGCCAAAGTCGACTTCCCTACCTCTATCAAAGCCGCCCGTCTTCTCACCAAGATCGAAGCTCGAGCTCCTCCACTCGCCCACCGATGTTCGCCCGTGGCAGTGGCCTACGCCGCCATCCACTGCGACCGACACCGATGCACCCAGGAGCCCATCGCCTTCTGCGCAGAACGGAAATCGAGATCCGATCAAGATCAAGCTCAGTGCTGATGTGCTCGACGATGCTGATGACAATCTGCCCGCACGCGGCCTGTCGAGCCGCATCGGATCGGTGATTGGTGCATCCCGCTCACACGATGCGCCGCCTGGTGCTGTACTGTCTCCGTTGGGTAGCGAGGATGAGCATCGTGCTGCCTCGCCATCCAAGCTGCGGGTGCGGACGCCGGTCAATGACATCTACATCAATCAGTACGGCGAACGCATCGTCCAGGGCAAGGTCGTGGGTCGCGTCCTTGGAGGTCGCCCACGCCCGCCGTCTCTCACCTCGCCGAACCTACACTCTACCAGCGCTCCAACCCCGGAATCCGGAGCCAGTCCAGAGCCGCGTCAACACTCTTCTCCGCCAGACGCTTCAAAGTCTCCACCAACAGCAGCGAGTGGTGCCAGCTTTACCACGTCCAGCCCGCCAGCCTTCTTCCTCGAATCGTTTCCAAACGCATTTGCCCCGCCAGCGCCATCAGCAGCAGCCGTGCCTCCAGCCAAGAACAAGCCTCGCAGAAGCTCCAAAGGCGGGCCTCCGAACATGCTCAAGGCGCCACGTGCCGTCGTGGGCGCACTCACACTCGCGCACTCGGACAACATTGACGACGCCGTTCTCGTGCGCGATGCGAGCTTTCACACGGCGTCTGAAATCGGCTCTCCAGCATCATCGTCATCCAAGCAGCTCTCGCCACCTCCGCCGCGGGGCATGGCGAGTGCAGAGGCAGAGATGGATGCGGCTTTCGGCAAAGTGCAGCTGGATGCTCCTGAGCCGGTGAGACGATCCGCAACGTCGACGCCGCTGCTGTCGCCCAACCAGGGCGCGGGCACCTCGGACACCACGCGCGGGAAGCTCGAGCTCGACTCGTTCCGACGACCCACACCGACGATCGAGCTGAGCCAGGCAAAGAGCGAGCCCGTCAAGCTGCACGCCAATCGTCGCCAGGCTAGGGCGTCGGGTGTTGTCACCCCGCCCGCTGTGGATTCTGAGGAGGCAAGCGAGGGTCTCAACTTCGAGCATATTGAGCCATCTGGTTATGCGCGCCACGGGTCGGCATCGGAACCCACGAGTCCTCTCATGTCGCCTCGGCACATGGACAATGACGACGTGGATGGAGAGGACGATGCTGCTTCGCTGGAATCGGCGCCTTCGTCACTCATCTCGCTGCCGGTCTCGACGCACACCACGTCCTCGCGCACGCCGAGTCATACGAGTCTCGAACGGCGGCGCAGTGGGGGCAGCGTGTCATCGCCATCTCGGCGCCGGTCAGCGCGGCGGAGTGAGGGCGACGAGCGGTTTGCGCGCGAGGTGCGGATCCGCGGCTGGTCCGAGGTGGGCAGTCAAGCGCGCGGGTGGGTAGTCTTCGAGATCGTCGTCACCACCACGCACGGCACGCACATTGTGGCGCACAAACGCTTCAGCAGCTTCGTCAACCTCCACCGAGCGCTGGCGCACGAATGGCCACAGCATGCAAAGTGGCTGCCCAAACTGCCGACGCGCACAACGGGGCTGCTGAGCAAGTACGATGCGCGCTACCTCGAAAAGCGACGAACGGCACTGCAGAGGTGGCTGGATGCGGTTATGCTCGATAGAGTCTGGGGCACCGCAGAGGCGTTAAGAGAGTGGGTCCTCGCCAGCGATTGACCCCTGGAACCCTGGAAAGCCAATTGGAATCCGCTTTGTCTGTGTGCTGTTTCGATATGTAAACTCGGACCAAGATCATTGAAAACGCGGGGGTTGGAATTGGCGAAGCGTCGAGGTGTAGATCGCTTTTACTCTTCGTCGGATGCTGGGGCAGCGGGAGGGTTACGAAGCAACGAGTCTTGGCGCGTCTTTCCACGCAGCTCCCATCGGTCCTACAATCGCAAACCCGCCTCATCAGTCTCTGCTATTCATCTAAGGTTCCGTCGGGGGTTGGGGAACTTACGTCGGTGTACTGTGCGGCGTAGTACGTGAGCACAGGCACGGCGAGACCCCAGAGCACAATGTTGCGCGCCTTGGATGGGGTGATGCGGAAGCGCTGGTACATGGTCGAGTGCATGTTCTGCCATCGATCCAGTGCCGGATCGGCCTTGTATGGGTCTATCGCACCATCACCAATGTCAGTCGAGCCGAATCTACAGTGCGGTATGGTGAGGAGGGTAGAGACTTACGATATCCTCCGCCAGCCATTTTCAAAGAGCGATTAGTGGGCGAGTGAGGGTGGTGTTGGTGTTGGTGTGGATGGTGTTGGAGAGAGACGATGCAGGTGAGCAACGGTGGATATCGTTGATCGCGCTCGGATCCGTTGGCGGGGCGAATTCTAACATTAGTGGATTGGAAAAATTGTCTCGCGCGAGAAAACTGCACCTCCACCTGACTCTCTCGACCTTTTGGACCCTTCATCCCCCTGCAGCTCAGCTTTACGCTTTCGGTCTTGATACCATCTATTCCCTTCGTTGGCGCAAGTATGAGTGGTCGACGTGCGCCTCCTGCTCCGCGTCCATACGCAGATGCACCACGATCGTACCGTGACGAACCGAGCTCCTCGCGCAGACGACGGAGTCCCAGTCCATCCCGCACGCGCCGCGATGAGCGCGATTGGCGACGAGACGAGCGCGATGATCGTGACTGGAGACGAGACGATCGTGACGACTACCGCGTGCGAAATCGCGACACTGATCGATACCACCACGACGACCGACCTCGCCCCCGCGACCGCGATCGCGATGATCCGCGACATGAACCACCACGTCCCCGTCCCCCCGCTTACAACGACGAGCGAGATCGTAGAGTGCGTGACCCTCCATCGACCAGCCGCAGAAGCCTGTCCCCACCATCCACACCTCAACCACTGAAACCGCCAGCTGAACCAAAGGAAAAGGAGACCGAAGGGGAAGGTGAGGCTGAAGAGGATGCGGATGCAGATGCAGATGCAATGGCGGCAATGATGGGCTTTGGCGGATTCGGCACCACCAAGGGCAAAAAAGTCGACGGCAACGCTGCCGGAGCGGCGCAGGTCAAAAAGGAACGCACGTGGAGACAGTACATGAACCGAAAGGGCGGCTTCAATCGTCCACTCGACAAGATTAAATGAAAGCACCACTAGGCACTCGCAATCCATTCAAACAGGTTTGACTGCCATTCCTAGATCAGCTCTGGGCTCAATTCGCCAGTACGACCTTGAGCATCTCTGCGCCCACGGCACCTGCTTCTTGGAAGCGATGTTCAAAGAAGCGGCGCGTCTCTTCGAAGCGGCGCTGGTAGCTGTCAAAGTTGCCAAACTGCACCGCCTGGGCCCATCCGCGCGAGGCGATGACGAACTCGGTGTCGTCGGCGCGGAAGCTGTGGTCGCGCGCGGCGGCGTGGCACGCTTGTCGCAGCCGCTCGGGCGAGCGAAAGAGGTACTCGCATACGCCGATCCAGATCCGGAAGATGGGCGTGGCGGCCAGATCGAGGTGGTCGTAAGGGTTGATGCCCAGCTCGCTCCAGCAGTCGACGATAGCGAGCAGCGACAGATGCGAGTTGGGCGGTGTGGCTGCCGCGGCTGCCTTTGCCTCCTCTGTCGTCGCTTGCGCCGAGTCGGATGTTGTGGAGGAGACGGCTTTGCGTGCGGCCATGTGGAATCGATCGAGCAGCTTGTCGCTCATGAGGATGGGTTTGCGTTCCTCCTTGGCACCCGTGCGCGAGATGACGCTGTTGCTTTCTTCTTCGTTCTCCCAGCCAAACACCTTGCGGCGGGCGGCAAAGACGCGCTGCATCAGCTCGTCCTCGCGCTCGGCCACCATGAGCTTGAAGAGCATGGTGCAGCTCTGTGCAAACTGTGTGACCTGCGTCTTGGCAGCCGGATTGAGCAGCGCAAGTCCGGCGTAGACGTGCCATTTGGCCGAGTAGATGCGCAGGCAGATGTTAATCTTGACCGTCTCGATGCCGCCCGGGTAGCGTTCCGACTCCCAGGGGTACTGGTTGGAGCAGCTCCAGGCGGTGCCCATGGAGAGGAAGGCGGCGTGTGTGACGGCTTGGGTGTTGGCGGTGACGGTGTCGTGCTCCTCGTAGGTGAGGTAGACAAAGTTGGATTTGAAACACGCCATGATGCGCTCGACGAGACGAAGCTTTTCGTCGGGCGCCCGGTGCTGGATGAGGATGAGCGGTTGACCGGTAGGGTCGACTTTGGGACCGTGCATGGAGTGGCACGAGATGATGTAGGTGTCGTTGGGCAGGTGCTTTTCGAAGGCCTCCTTCTCTGGCGCCTTTACCGACGTCTGGCCGGCGACGATGGCGCCGATCTTGGTCGAGGATCCGTACTGCGCTACGACGGCATCGATGTAGGCAGCTTCGACCGAGTAGATGATGTAGTCGCTTCGCCGCGAGACGAGGTGTCCGTCGCGGAGGACGTTGAGCCCAGAGCCTTGGAGCTCTGTGCGGAGCTTGTCGTAGTTTTCTGGGCGGTCGCAGACGTTGACCTTGGTCCATCCTGCGTCTCGCATCTTGGTGGCATAGAGGCGGCCCATGTCACCCATGCCGATGATGCCGATCTCGACAGTGTCCATTTCGGATGTGGAGCCCATGGTGAGGATTGTTGGGGGGGGATAGAGTGGGAGAGATGATGGTGGTCCGGCCGACAGCTTGATTGGGGCTGCTGCACTTTTGTTGGCTTCCCGCGTCCAAAGTTGGATTTAGGCGTGACTCTGAAAAGAAGAGGTGGAGGCGGAGGGGCCGAGTCGCGAGACCTGCGAGACCTGCGAGACCAACACCGTGCGCTAGTGCTGCGGCCGACTGCTGCTGGCTGCTGCCGAGTGAAGCGCCTTTTGGACCCTGACGAAGCTCAGTCGGATGTGATTGTGACAGAACAACAGTTAAGAAGAAGTGACCATCACCGGCTGATCCGCTTTCATTTCATCGTCACACTCGGGTCGATCCGTGGCTGACCTGGGCTCGCATCGGCTGCGTCTCTTCTTCCAATCACACCAAACATGGCTTCCTCCTAGCCACATCCACCTCTCCCGCTTCATCACGGTCGGCTGCGCCAACATGGCTTTCTCCCTCCAGGAGGCACTCGAACAGATCCGCAGCGACAAGGTCAAGGATCGTCAACAAGGACTCGAAGCCATCGACCACATCTTTGCCGACGCCGAGAATGCGCGCAACCTCGACCCGAAGCGCGACGGCCGAGCGTGGCTCAAGACCTTCCAGTCGCTCTTCGTCTGCGTCCTCGCAGAAAAGACAGCATGCATACGCAAGGGATCCTTTGTCGATGCACAGCCCACCGCACTTGCACGGCTCCAACGCTCCGCCCAGACGCTTCGCTCCCTCGTCGACAAGTCTGCCTCGCTGCTCACTCGCAAAGTGGTCAAGGCGCTCGTCATCCACATCCACCAGATGCTCAATCACCGCGGCACTCTCCTCCAGCCCATCGCACCTGCCTACATCGCCGCCCTCTGCACCATCCTTCGACATCCGCATCACGTCGACCACCTCGACCCCGAAGATTGGTCCGCTGTGGCTTCACTGTGCTTCGACATTCTGCTCACACGCGAGCTCGGCTCTGACCCTACCACTCCTGCAGATGCGCAACAGTGGCTCGCATCCGCCCCGTCTGCCCAACAACCTCCTCTGCAACGGCGCGGCCTCAGCCTCGAGCATGCTGTCACGGCAGAGTGCCTGAGCCACCTCATATCCAGCAGTGTCGCACCTCTCCTCGGCGCACAAGGCTACGGCTTGCCGCTTCTCGCCGACTACGTGCGTTTCCTGCTTGCCTATCCATCCGAGTCGTCCGCCCACCTTCCCACCCTCACCGGCCTCGTCGTCTTGCTCGAGCATCTCGAACTCAATCATACCTCCCAAGTCGTCCTGGCCACCCTCGCCGTGCGCAATATCCTCCTCAATCTCTGGAAGACCAAAAATCAGCTTCTCAAGGCACAGCTTCTCCTCGTCTTCCGCATGGTCACCGACCCCATCGCCTCCTGCGCACTCGCACGTCCAGACGCCGCATCATCACAACATCACGCATTGCCATCCGACGACGCCATCGCCTTTTTGCAAGCTATCCACGATACGCTCCTCAACGATCCAGACAGTCGCTGGGCCCTCGAGCCGCTCCACATGGACGCCCTTCTTCTTCGCTGGCCTCAACACCCACAGCCCGTTCATCGCGACATCGCCGTGATCAATGCCGCTTTCAGCCTCAGCCCCACATCTTCCGACAGAGATGCACTCGCATGGTGCCGAATCGGCCTCCACGTCGACCTCATCGACGCTCTCACCACAATAGCACGTCAGCCCATCGACCGTTCCGATCGCCCTGCCACATCCAATCTCGACGAACACGCTGCCGGCCCTTCTACCCAGGCCTCCTCCTCGCCCGCCAAGCGCAGACGCACGACTCCTACCTCCAGCCCGCAAAAGCGATCCAGGCTCAGTTCACACCAGCCAACCGGACTGTCATCGGAAGCCCAGGGTCTCCTTCCTCTCATAGGCATGCTCTCACATACTGATGCCTCGGCGCCATCCAGTCCAGCTGCGCGTCTATCTGCCGTGCAGCTTCTCACCTTCCTCGTGCTCTGCAAGCCACATCTCCTCACTCCCATCGCCATCGACCACCTCCAAAAATGCTTGCTCGCCGTGATAGCCGATACGGACACCGCCACGGTCTCTTGGAGCTTGCTCGCATTGGCCTCTATCCTGCTCATGCACTCGGACAATGCCGACGATGCCTCGAGACTGTCCTCTGCCACCCAAGCCTGGGTCATCGCAGCGCGCAAGCTACAGCTGCCAGCCACCTCTCGCGCTGCCGCCTACCTGCTCAGTGTCCTGCTCGCAAGCTCCGCGCTACCAGATTCCAAGCTTCAGCCAGAGATCGCTCGCTTGCTCGCCGATGTCGACCTGCAAGGCCCGCCGATGGTCTGTGATAGCGTCTGCCATCTCATGGCACTCCTTTTGCGTCACACCACCTCGAACCGCGCCTTTCATCTGCTCGACCCCAGAGCCAAAATCGGTGCATGGCTCGCCAGCACCTACTCCCCAGCAGCAACAATATCATCCTCGGCATCCAACGGTCCTTTTGTCCCCTATGACGATCTCATCCGCCTCGTCGATTGCATCGTTGCAGAGAGCCATCCGCAATCCTCGTCACGAGCTCCTCTGGACGCCTTCGGCTCCAATCCTGGCGCCGCTTTCGCTTCGGCACAACGGCGCGCAAGGCTGCAGCCACTGCGCAACCTTGTCCTTCGTTCCACCATCGCACTTGCAAGTCTTGCGGATACCACGCTCCAAACCGAGGTGACAGCGGCCAACCCTGCCCTCATGTCTGCCGAGGCTCTGCATCGAATGACCGTCGTGCTGGACAGGAATGTCGACGCCTGCCTCACTGCCTTGCAAGATTTGACTGCCGATACAAATGGCGCAGCATCCTTGACAGGCCATGCAGCCATCACAGCGCTGCATCTGGCCATCTTGGCGCTCGACGTTGGCACGAAATCCACAAGTCAATCCGGCTCCCATCGCACGTCCAGCATTCGAAGCTGCTGCCAGATCATCGTCAGGATCCTCGCTATTGCATCCAGCGTGGATGCCGTGCGCAGCGGTGGTTACGCTCTCGCAATCGAGCAGCTCACGCTCCTGTTGCCAGCAGCTTCCGCAATCTCGGATAGCTCGACAAAGACTAATCTACTCGTCGATTTCGGTCCCAGCAGCGGGATAGCGGCCCGTCTGCTCGCCAAAGAGCAGCCAGAACAACCTCGATCCGGACTTCCTGCCCTTGACGAATCATCGCGACGCATTTGGAAGGCCATCCGCGATGCGAACATGCTGGATACCGTGCTCGCGAGCTGTGCCAAGCTGTTTGAGACCACGCTCTTTGGCGACGACGAAGCCGAGGCCGAACCGTCGTCCCAAGTCGCTGTCGGCTCTGGGGATGTCTTTGACGACGTGCCGGAAAGCAGTTCCTCCACCTTCGTAAATGCCACAGCAGCAGCCCACCTCGGCTCATCCGCTTCCATCGAGGTGGTCATCCGCTCGACCGTGCGCCTGCTCTTGGCCGTGCCGCGTATCGTGACCGGTGCAGCCGATGCGCGTCACCAGGAGCTCGTGGTGTCGTCCTTCTTCGATTGCTCGGTCCAGGGCATCGTCGCGCTCGCGCCCGTGCTCTTCGACTCGTTCCGCGACGGCACGCTCTGGATGAGCCATCGCGACGTCAATGACGCTTTGGACCGCCTCGGCACCGAGCTGCTCGCCTCGTATCGCTTTGCGCGCCATCAAGCCGCAAGGCTTGCCACCATCCGCGCCGTCTCTTGCGTCATGCCTCTGCTGCTTGGCGAACTCGACGAGCAATCCGACCTCTTCGACAAAGTGCAGAAGCTCTCGGCTTTCTTTGCAGACCAGATCGGCCGTACAAAGTGGCCAACGCCGTGGGAGGTGCAGCTGGCCTGTGCCGACTTCCTCGCCGAGCGTCTGCGTCTCGATCCCGACGGACGTCTTCTTCGGTCCGGTACCGCTCGAGCCCCAAGTGCTTCCCCCGTCACCGCGCTACTCAAGCTTCACGCGGATCCAGATGTACGTGTCCGCGCGCTCGGTTCTCCCATCGCCACCTCGGTCGTCTCGACATTTACCGGCTCCCAAGCCGATCTCGACGAGCTCTACACGATCTTCCGAGATGGCCTCCCCAGCGACTCGACTCAGCCACGACTCATCTTGACCCGGGCACTCAGCCTCTGTAACGCGGCGATCGCCAGCTCATCGGTACGAAGATCCTCGATCTTTTATCTTTTGGAGATTGTCTTGGCCACGGGCATGCTTTCCAGCACAGTCCAGGAGCTTTTTGCCAAGTTGGCCGCACGCCTTGGCTTTCCAGACGCCTCCAGCTGCTACCAGGCGTTTGCAGGCCAGATCACATGGGGCTTGGCTACCAACGGGTACGATCCGCTCCAGTTGCCTTGGAAGGTTCTCGGCTACGCGAGCAAACGCGTCTGCCTCGAAGCGACTTTTGCAGCCTGCGGAAGCATGCTTCTGGCAACACAAACGGCCGACGGCCGCACTCAATTCGGCGCCCTCGTCCAACTCACCCGTCGCAATCGCCAACAAGGTCTGCAAGAATGCCTTCCCTTCCTCACTGCTGCCTACATTGGATTCGCGGCGCAGGCGGAGCAAGGCACCTCTTCCAACACCGCTGCGATCTGCGAGCGGACCCTGCGTGATCTGGCCTCGCTCGGTGTTGTCGAAGGGGACGACGCTGCAGCCTTGCGAGAGATGATCGTACAGGCCGACGATCTGACCATCTCGACCTTGCTGCTGCTATTCTACCAACCGGGAGCGACGCTCGCAGAAAGCCGCGCATCCATCCTCGAAGCGATAGCTCCCCTCGATGACAAGTGCGCCAAGACGGTCGACGCGCTGACACCAACGAAAAACGATGGCGCTGCGAGCTGCCACGAACCCAGCCGCCCCTTCTTCTCGGCCGCCGTGCTTTACACGGCGCTCGCCGCCTTACCCCAACTTGGAATCGCCGCTTTCGCCCCCCAGACGGTGTACAACGTGTTGCGCCACATGTTCTACCACATCTCCACCTCGCGCTTTGTCAACGACCAGGTGCGCATGTGTGCAGCGCTGCGGATTTACATCGCCATGTGCGGCGACGCCTTTTGGAAAGATGCGCTCAACAACCAGCTGCTGATTCGCAGCATCGAGCGATTGCTCGAGCAGCCCCAGCTGCACGACGAATTCCGCCCGCTACTCGTCTATGCCTGCACCGCCTCCTGCCTGGCAACCAAAGCGCCTGAATCACTTGTGTCGTGCATCGTCGCCTGGTCGCAGCAGCTAGCAGAACGCCTCGTCGCTTCGCCGGCGTCCGGTGCCTGGTTGCTTGAGGCGGCCAACGCCCTAGCACGGTCTTCGCCAGTGGCCACATCTGCTGTCGTGCTTCTATGGCCAGTCGATTTGGCCAACACCGAGCACACTGCCGTCGAGAGCCTCGTCGATATCGGCACGCTGACCTACGCTCTCGAGGCTTGCCCGACGCTGTCACCTCGGCTGCCGTCGCTGCTGCGCATCCGGTCCGTGCTGACCCGGGCCGAAAAGCCTCAGCTGGCTGCATTCTGCAACGGCCCGGCGTGGAAGCTGCTGGAGCGAGCAGCAGATGCTTCACGCCAACGAGTCGGTCAGGCCGGGGATCCTCTCGGCGACGTCATCAACGACATCTTTACCGCGATCGTCGGCGTGCAGGAGGCTGCCTGTCTGCACCGAGAAGCGCGAAGACTCGGTGGCAAATGGAACGCGCGGGCGGTGGAAGACTTTTTGGAAGCGGCGGACACCAGCCACATTCGGAGTTTGTCTGCCGCAGCGATCCTTACCGTCCATCAACTGGCCCAGGATCTACCGATCGAACAGGGCTACCAAGCATACGAGGCGCTGCGAGATATGGCAGCCGTTCTGGACGAGCCACTCGCCGAGGTGCATCCTGCCAAAATGTCAGCTGCAGCGAAACAAGAGCTCAGCCGCGTCCGCCCTGGCCTCGGCCCGCCTCTGACTGCGCCTCGCTCCGTAGATGCACACGATGTTATGTTCGCAGAGCTCGTCGACATTGCAAGCTCGGCAGACAAGTGGCTCTGCCGTATGGCTGCCATCCTATGCGACCTGGTTGCTTCGATGCCGCATTTGGCTCTCTTCCGTCCCGCGCGACGCCTGGTAGAGGCGAATGCAGAAGCGGCCCACGCTCTCTTTCCCATCTTGCTTCTGTGCTTCACGGCGGACGATGCGGCACAGGGATCCTCTGCGATTGCTACCGAAAACCGGAGACGAAGCGGCGGGAGCGCGACGCCCTCGCGAGCACAGCGGGACCAAGGACTCGCTGCAACGCGTGCAGTCATCGCGCAGCACTTTGAAGCCGTGCTCGGACGCACCACCTCGGATCCTGTCTGCAGCGAGATCATTGTACAGGCGCTCTTGGCTCTGCGCGCCTTCCGTCCAGTGCAGTCGGAGCCGGATAACGTCTGCTTCTGGTACCGCGTGGACTCAAGCCTGCTTGCCAGCCGATGCATCGCAGCAGGTCAGCTCACCGCGGCCATCTTTTTCCTCGAGCACGGCATTCAGAACGCGACTGGAAAGCCAGAGACCACGACGATCCGCAGCGCCAACCAGTTGCTGCACCAGGCCTACATGAACATCGACGACCCGGACGCTTTCTACGGCATCACGGACGGAGATGTGCGCGACTCGGTGCTCTTGCGACTGCATCACGAGGGACAGTGGTTACGGGCGTTCCAGTATCACGCAGCGGACTACGAAGCTTGCACCAGCGACGGAGAGCGCAGACGAGCCGCAGTCACACTCGGTCAGAGCCTACAACATCTCGGATTCCCTCGACTGGTGGATGGTATCGGATTGAATGTCGGATTGAATGACGCCGGGCACGACCGCTTCGCCTCGGCGCCGAATCTCGGCGGATCCTCTACATCTACATCGTGGGATCTACCTCTCGCATCGCAGTCACTGGAAGGCAAGGCACCGAGCGTGGAAGACGTGCTACATACGCTGCGCCAAGCGAGTGCCGAGCAGGATGTCGACGCACCTTTGTCGCATGCCTTCCGATCGAAGCTGCAAGCGCTATGCTCGACCTCGGTCGAGAGCGCCAAGGCGCTGCGCAGTCTCCAAGGCGATCTGCTTGCGCTCGGTCAAATCAAAGACTGGCGCAGGGCATCGAGCTCAATGGGCGCCGAGGAGGCGGTCGCCCATCTGCGCAGCCAATGGGTGCGAGTCGAGGCGTCGGAGCGCTTCGAGCTGACCGAGCGTGTTCTCGACACGCGCCAGTCGGTGCTGCATGCCGTACGGCAGCGGATGCACGTGGACCAGATCGGTGATGTGCTGGATGGGCCTGTCGAAGATGTGGCACGAGTGGAGCGTCTGCTTCTGGTGGCTTCGAGTCGCCGCGCCCGCGAGCACGGCAAGCTGCAGAAGGCCATCAACGCGGTCGCTCGTGCACAGCGGATCGAGGACGCGCTGGGAGACGGCGAGGAGCTCGCGCGGGAAGAGTTTGCGGCGGTGCTGTGGGATCAGAACGAACACTCGCCTGCCATTCAGCTGCTATCGCAGGTTGTCGATGGCATCGGCGTCACACAAAGCTCGTCGTCGTCTCAGAAGCGCCGTGCGGCGCGGCTACTGGCGTTGCTAGCACAGTGGCGTGCCACTGCTCGCTCGCAACAGCCGAGGGAGATCGACCGCAGTCTGTTCGAGCCGGCATTGAAGCTGACCGCTGTTCCTGCAGCTTCGAGCTCGAACGGCGAATCGAGTCCAGCTGCAGCAGAACAGTCCGAGATAGCATACAGGTGGGCAAGATTTGCGGAGCAGCACCATCGAGACTCGGACCTTGCCGAGATCACGCGCCTGCGGCTGTACACAGACCGACGCCGCGAGGAGATCGCACAGAATCAACGCGAGTGCGAGCGAACGACCTCCAAGACGGAACGATCCAAGCTGCTTCAGTTCCAGCGCCAGGCCGAAAAGATCCTGCTGCAGGACGAGACGAGGCTGATGGAGCTCGAGGCGTCGCGCACGCACTTTCTGCGCCGAAGCGTCGCCATGTACGCGCGTGCGTTGGCGACGTCGGACGAGCACGACGATGCGGTGCCACGACTGGTATCGTTGTGGCTGGAGCACGCGGCGGATGCGGAGCTCAACCGGCTGCTGTCGACCTGCCTGCCATCGATCCCGTCGCACAAGTTTGTGGGGCTGATGCACCAGCTGTCGGCGCGGCTGACGGAGCTGCCGGATGCAGCGGACGTCATGGTGCCGTTCCAGACGAATCTGTCGCGCCTGCTGCTGCGCATGTGCCAGGAGCATCCGTTCCACTGCCTGTACGCCATCTTTGCGCTGATCAAGACGGGCGCAGATGCCAAGGCTGCGGCAACGCATCGGCCAAGCCCAAGAAGCACGCTGTCGGTGCCCGAGGGTGGCGCCTCACAATCGGCGTCTCCTCCCGTGCTCCGGTCGACGGCGGCGGAGAAGATCTGGACGCACATTAAGCGGCGCTCGTCGCTGGGCAAGCGCATCCGCACGTTCGAAGAGCTGTGCCTGGCGTACGTGGAGTGGGCCGAGTTTGACCTCACCTCACGGGCGGACCGCTACTTTCAGAACAGCGGTTCGATCAAGAAAGGAGCGCTGCGGATGCCGCCGTCGGGCGAGCTGCGCCTGGCGCGTATGCGGGATCTGGATATACCCGTGGCGACGGCGCGGCTCGAGATCGATGCGACGTGCCGGTACGAGAGCTTCGTGTCGATCGTCCGGTACGGCGAGACGTTTACGACTGCGGGAGGCATCCATCTGCCCAAGATCAGCGAGTGTATCGGGAGCGATGGACGGCGGTACAAGCAGCTATTCAAGCGCGACGACGATCTGCGGCAGGATGCGGTGATGCAGCAGGTGTTTCGCATGGTCAACGGGCTGCTGGAGGCGGATCGACGGACGCGGGAGCGGAAGCTGGCGATTCGGACGTACACGGTGCTGCCGCTGGGGCCTCAGTGCGGCTTGCTCGAGTTTGTGACCAACACGCTGCCGCTGGGCGAGGTGCTGATCGAGCTGCATGCGCGGTACCGGCCGCAGGACATTACGCCGGCGCAGGCGCGTGCCAAGCTGCGGGACGCGCAGCCCATGCGTGCCGAGGCCAAGCTGGAGGCGTTTCTGGACGTGTGCCAGGCGATGCAGCCTGCGATGCGCTACTTTTTCAGCGATGCGCAGCGGATGCCGCGCGATTGGTACGCGACGCGGCTGCGGTATACGCGGAGCGTGAGCACCAACTCGATCGTGGGACATGTGCTCGGACTGGGCGACCGACACGTGTCGAACATCTTGCTGGACCAGGCGAGCGGGGAGCTGGTGCACATCGACTTTGGCGTTGCGTTCGACCAAGGCAAGCTGCTGCCGATTCCGGAGCTGGTGCCGTTCCGACTGACGCGGGATCTGGTGGACGGCATGGGGGTTCACGGCGTGGAGGGCACGTTCCGACGGTGCTGCGAGGAGACGCTGCGGGTGCTGCGTGCGCACGGGGATGCGATCAAGACGGTGCTCGAGGTGTTTCGTCACGACCCGCTGTTTGCCTGGACGTCGAACCCGATCAAGGTGCTGCGGGCGCAGGAGGCGGCGGCGGCGGCCGAGGAGGAGAGCGTGGCGGCGAGCATGGATCGCTCGGGCTCGACGGCGACGAGAGTGTCGCGCTCGACAACGCCCATGGTGGCGGTGGGAGACGGGGTGGGCGCCGGGGTGGACACGGCGGAGCTGAGCGCGGATCGCGCGGTGAGCTCGGTCATGTCGAAGCTGTCGTCGAGCCTGAGCGTCGAGTCGACGGTCAACGATCTGATCCAGCAGGCCATGGATGCGGGCAATCTGTCGGCCATCTTTCATGGATGGCAGGCAGCGCTGTGATGTTTCTTTGGCCCACCGAAGATGTAAGCGACAATGAATGTCCTCTGTGTAAGTTTGATTGGTGCGTGACTGCGATGCTTGTACCGTGAGCCCTGATATGATGCTTTGTCGCCGACGCCGCTACTATCGTATTCACTCGAACCAGGGTGTCAGTCGGGGGAATTGTGTCGTCGAGGCGTCAATTGCATGTGTGCGGTGGTTAGGCCAGCCACAAAGCCTACAATCGATCGTTGGCGCAAATCCATGACCAGCGCCGCACAACATGCGATCATATCAAAGGCCTGAACGGGGCAAAGTGGGATTGCAGTAAGATCTATTCACAGAGGGGCTTAGCCGGTGCATGTCCGGGTCGAACTTCTGGAGCTCATAGACCCCAAAGCGCGTCGATGAGGCTTTGCAGTGCGTGCTGGCGGCTCTTGATCGTCTGCGTTCGTGGAGTTGAGGCGGGATGCTCTCTTGTGCAACCAGCATGCATTTGCTCATCTGCACGAGCCTGGCTTCCGATCTGCCACGCGAGCGAGTGCCGCCGACAGCTCGCCGACAGCTCGCCAACGGCATCGAGGTGCGTCTGGCCCATGGCGGGAAGCGCCGGGTTCGGAAGATCTCACTCTGCACGCACCAGCGACACCCGAAATGGAAGCGAAGCGAGATGCTTTTGCAATCGATTGGCTAAGACAGCTCGAGCGATGTCTCGGCAGTAAGGGGAGCGGCATGCCAACGACGGTGTGTGGGGATTGCGAAGGTCTCAAAAAAATAAAGCTCGAGCGGCGAGACAGCGGGGGTGGGGAGCAGCTGGCAGGCCATGGTGGTGACGTCTTGTTGCGGGGACTTTTCGAGCTTGCCTCTCAGACGGCAAGAAGGTCTCGACATGCAGGTACGCTTCACGGCGTCTTCGACTCACAATGGCCTTAGCTGTGGGCAAAGGAAAGGGGGGGGGGGGGGGGG